AACTTCATCTCTTAGTTTACTCGTGTAGACAATCTCTCCTGATCGAAGTTGAGCCAATGTGTAGATTTTATGAGATTTCATCAAAGTCATACGTCCATGTGCCTTTTGACATTCTTGACACAGGAAATGATCACAGTCCATGCATCTTGACACAGCCTGATTCTCCTCATCACAGTCTTGACATTTGATTTCTGACCCTTGACCTTCCAGTAGCTTTTCCTGCATTGCAACTTCTTCCACCAGGGCACTGAATGCAAAGTTATTAGGGAGATCAGCAACCCCAGACCCTTTCAACATGGTTTCTCGTCTGCACAGAGGACATGTCAGCTTTGTACCACTAGGATATTGGCTCTGACTGAGGTCGTGAAGGCATTGCAGGCAAAAACTATGCAAACAGTCCAGCAGTTTGGGCTGCCTGAAACGGTTGGTGCAGATGGAGCATTCCAGATGATCCACACTAATCTTCTCCAACAGTGATTGCACTGTAACATTAGATGCCATCCTCACTGTTGGGCTTTGTGTGATAGGATGGACGTTTAACCTACAAATAAAAGGTTTAGAATTACATGTATTCAAACTTCAAATGATTATATGGTTGTAATAGGTCAGATGTAAAGTTGAAAACTTTTTGTCAAGTACATTATTCACAAATTGAAGGTCTATTCACATGCTACATGTATATGCTTGTTTTAAAACTGCTGTTGTTTAGTTTTGTTCAAAAGAAAATAGCAATCAGTTGCAACAAATGTACAATATATGGTTACCTTGTTAAAGGGAATACACAACATTTGTTTCTACTATAATATTCAGAAATGGATGTATTTTGTGGTTAGTATTTTGTAGCAAATATTGTTATGTTGACTTGTTTAAAGTTTTGTGTTTGTAGATACTAGAAAAACCACAAAAAACAATCCTGTTCTTGTAGACTGGTTCCCCGACCCAAAATGATGAAATGGAGCAGTTTATAGACGTCAGGGAATTGGATCAGGGAACCAGTCTAGCTTGCTTGTACCCTTTCATAGGAGTGTAATTAATTGCAAACTAAATCTGTTAACTTGGGGGTTTGAAAAGTGTCAGTTTTGTCCAATGCTGGTCAGTCGACCAGCATTGGAAATCGATACAAAAAGGTAAATTGTAATAAAATTCATAACAAGTCAAACAAAAGTAGGTCACAAGTGAAAGGGGGGGGGGGGGCTCATCTTCGTATTGGGGCGCTGTTCAAACCAGACGATCATGGACAATATGTGGCACTTTTCAGGGTGGCACAATTGCTGATAGTCGCCCAAAATTCCCAAAAGGGTACTCGTAAAAGGCTGCTGGTAACAAAATAGGCACTGTTTAAAAAAAAAGGCATTGTTTAAAAAAAAGGGCACTCTTTACAAATATTGGGTGGGGGGGGGGGGGGTGTTACGCTAGAGTTAAAAGGGCACTTGTATACAAAAGGGCTGTCTTACTGTTACTCAGGTGGGACTCGAACCAAGTACCTCCTGTTTAGTGCAGACGTCTTATCACTCCACCTTTGAGCTTGCCTGGGTCAGCTGGTTGGTTTGAGTTGAGGTGAGCTGGAGTTACTGCAACCAAATATTGTCTGTACCCCAAAAAAATATTACATGTACTTTAACTGGCCCATATTTCAAATCGTAGACTCAAAGTCCACTTTCCTTTAAGAAATTTCATCAAAAATACATTGACCTTCACATCGGTTTTATTTTTTGTTGTTTTATTATTGGTCTAACACTTGTTTGTAAAGTACAAACAATGCATGTCACTTATTTCTGTCATGAATATAAGGAGATTCATGTATTCCACATGTCTGTATTCTAACAGGTTTGACGGATCCACCTGAATTTCCACTAAATACGTATACACTTGTAATTGGCAAATACTGAGTTAACTTCATATGAGATAATGTGATGCTGTTGATTTATATCAGATGTATAGACAGACTTACAGGTAGACCCATTAAATAAGAATCTTACCTTCAGGTACACATGAAATGAGCCATTTCTATCTGCCCATTCTGATGTCACTTACGGCAGTGGTTGAAATGAACAAAGATGGCGATCTATGTATACGCCCCTCTGTATCAACACAGCCCATGTCACCTGATTTTGAGTACACTCATTTGCAGTCCCTGGTTCCACTTATGTAGCGATGTGGTATGTGCTCATAGTAAAATCAAATACAGTGTTTTATATCTAATGGATCCAAAGGTGTTCGGCTGGTAATATTTGCAGTACCACTACCCAAATTCTGATAACGTAGAACTTTGGTACGTGCTCATAGTAAAATCAAATACAGTGTTTTATTTCAAATGGATCCAAAGGTTCTGGGCTGGTAATATTTGCAGTCCCCAGATTCCACTTATGTAGAGCTTTAATTGGTACGTGCTCATAGTGAAATCAAATACAGCATGCTGACTGTGTTTTATATCAAATGGATCCAAGAGTCTAGAGCTTGTAATTAGCAAGATTATGGACAGGTTTATCAGAAAGGTAAACATAAAGAAGCCTCAGGGTCAATTACCTGATGCAGTTATTCTGAGCTGACTCTTATTGCAGATGACACCTGTTTTAATATCCTTTGATATGTTTCCAGTCAGGATACTCACACAGGTGTCTATCGCTTGTGGAATTTCCTGATTCTCGAAAGTAGGGGGAGGGGCATATCTTGAACAGAGTTCATGCGAGCGCGAAGTCCTAACAGCATGGGGTCTAGAGCCCGCTTAAGGGCCCCGGAAAATGTTGTATTCTAGATGCTCTGTGGTGTGATCTGAGGCAATTTCTGACCACTTCAAATTGTTGTGAGCAAAATAATCATCTATTTTTGAGTTTGGAGTCATCAGCTATTGTGAGCTATAGAATCATTATGTTGGCAACAGTTTTAATTCGGAGGCTAAAAAAGTGGGGGGGGGGGACACAAACGATATGATATCCCCCGACTTTAAAAAAGTTGGGAGGGGGGACTTGTCCCGCCATCCCCTCTGATTGACCCCCATGGATACTCAAGTCTGTTGTGTAGAACACAAATAAACAAAAAGAGGTGAAAAATGAACTGACAGTAATTAGTTTTGGAACGTACTTTTGTTTTGTTGTCGGTTTTATTTTCCTTCACTCTCTTTATATTTATCAACATTTTGTAGCTAGTGTGCGGTTGGTGTTTTAAACACAGAAAATATAGCATTCAACAGCCCAATGCTTGCATAGTTCATTTAAATTATATTCATCATAACAAAACTTATTTCTTTCAGTGATTCAGCATCAGCAGTGCTTTGTTACACAATTTCCAAAACTCACATTTTTAATGCTTACTCTTCTATTGCATCCCAGTTCAGTTCATTCAGCACTATTTTTGAATATTCATTTATATTTTGTGCCCTCCATAGGCTGATTGGTCCATTGCTGAGATGAATGCTGAGATTTGGGAGAGCCACGCCTACCTCTTCACATCACAGACTGATGAACAGGTATGTTAAGCAATAATGTGGTGTCAGTCTATTTGAAATCAGTATATGGGTGCTCAAAACGAGGGAGCTAAAAATCAGTTTCTTTTTTAGTTTCATTATTTAAAGAGCTCATTGAAACCATTATTTTCCTTTCTGAACACATGAACACAGACATATTTTCTCCAGCCCAAAATCTTGAAAATATCATTCCACTCACAAATCACTGTCACATGTCGGACATCTGGCAAAATGTATTGGTGATCATGAGGTTTCAGTCTGCGTACAATTTTTTTGATGCAATCCGTTGTCACAACTGATGCTTGTTGATGATGCCATGCACTCCAGACTGAATGTGGTCCCTGTACAAGATCCTTATATGAAGTCGCCAAGGAGGAAGATTTTATCCAACAGAGGAATGACAAGGAGATTCTGATCCAGGAGAATGTAAAATGAGTTCTTGGCATTTTCAGCAGCAGCCTGATAATTTTGGCCAGATGTTTAAACATTCGAACAGCGTGATATATGGGCAAAATTGTTTACAAAAATAACCACGGTTGACTATTTTTGCAGTATTTTATTAGTAAAATTTGATGTTGTATTCTCCCCCTCCCTTCTCCCCCAGGTCCCAGGCCCATTAGAACGACGATTCTAGCCCCTGGGGTTCTGACACCAACACCCCCTCTAGAAGGACCAAAACTGCGTGGTCAGCGACGCCGAGATATGACACATGATGCTCACCAGACCGGCTATTAAGGTTGGTGCTTATTGGGTCAGTCGCTACCTAACACCATTACCACACTGCAAAAACAGATAGACAAGCAAGACCCTGTGGAGGAATTCAAGCTGACTTTGGGGTAAAAGTTTGGCTCAGTGATATTTCAAGAACTCACAACTTTAAAAGTCTCAAAAAAATTGCATGAATTTCTGTAGTCTATAGAATTTCAGGTGAGATTATCAGATCTTCCCATTTTTGCAAAGCAGAATGTATCAGAATACAAGGGCTTTATTTCAACTATTGTTACTGACAACCACCTAATTTTGCACTCAACCAGCAATAGCTAAATGTATTACCAGACAGTTTTGCCAAAAATGTTTCGTTGAGTCAGTGAAATGTGACTCACCAGTAACATGTCCCCGATGTCTAGTCTGAGTCATGAGTTGAGTAATGAGAGCCGAGTTTGAGTCATCATCCATTGTAACTTGAAGTGAAGTCTGAGAATTTGCAACTCAAGTCAAACTCAAGTCCGAGTCACAGACTAGGTTTTATATTTCTGCCATACTGGTGTATGGTTATGTTGTCCATGCATTTACTGAAGAATGAATATGCAAACAATTAAGTCAGCCAAAGTTAACTTGATTCGTAATTGAAGTCCAAGCTAGAGTGAGAACAAACAATGTAATGTGTGTTGTCTGTCAATTTGTTTACTTTGAAATGTAGGTACTCTATGAAATGTCAGTGGCAGTCAACTGTGAGGAAGCCAAGAAACCTGTCTGCAAAAACAAGAACAGATTTCCCAATGTACTTCCATGTACAGGTAAGTTCATTTTGTAGAAGTTAGTATACTTTTAAATAGACTGTTAAGTTGAAAAGTGGCCTCTTGAGGCAAACCCTTGTTGGCACACTCACACTGCATTGTGAATTGTTCTTAATTGTAGGGGGATGGGTACTAAGGTAGTCTATGTAATATCCCCTTGTACAGCAAGGGTTTGTGATATCCGAGAGATTCGACGATTATTATACAAAACAAGACTGCGTCTAATTGACCTCGAGACCATTCAGCAGGCGCCTTCTATATTGGTTCTTAAACCCGTTGTCATGTACATCTAGTAAAACCTAGACACAACATTTATTATGCTTTTACGTTGTGTATTATGTAAGCAAATTAGGCTGTGTCACATGGGCTGTAACGATATGTTACGTGATGCTAAGGATGTGATGTTGACGTGTTCAACAGAAAAAAATTGTAAATCTGTTTGCATATTTTCCAAAACATGTATAAAGAAACCTGAAATATGAAAAAAATGACCTTCGTTTATGTAATCTGCCTTTGACTTGTACACATTTATTTCACAAATTAACAGTGTTTTTAATCTCATTTAATCTACAAAGTATTAGAAGAACCGCACAACTTGATTTCATTCTGGGTAGTTGAGTTTGTACATGTACAAATGTATGTTTTCAATAGCTGCCTGCTATAATCTATTTGGCCAATCATATACAATATAAACAGTTTACTATTGAGATGTTTTCAATGCTCCAGTGTTCCCCCTAAAATACTGTAAATCTGAGTGTGTCTTGACCTTTTCCACACAAGGAAATGCCGATGACATTCCATTTTCATTGTATCCACCTTTTCAATAGAAACTACTTTTCTAAAATCTTTGAAAAAACAAAAGCCCATGAAAATAAAATTATCACTTTACTTACAAGAACCTTCTAACCCTAGTTATGCCGCTGGTATCTTTAGAAAGTTCCAGATGCTGATTGGTAAAATAACAGACTTTGGATCTTTGCCGAAATGCCATTGTTGTCATGTAAGCTGCATTCCCTTGGAGAGATATTCTGTAATTAAAGCAAATGCTCATTGCTTCATTTAGACTACTTGGTCTATCAGCATGTAGCAAACCAATGTTTAGTCGAAGAAGCAAAAGCCTCATTCATTTATGGAATAAACTAAACTATTATTGTAGTGATAGGGAACCTCTCACAAGTAGGTCATTCTTCACATTTAGGGTCCAAAGTCGGACATTTTTCCTGTCTCTGCACATCCGAAATTTATCATTTGCCATTCACTGCAATTAAAAATGACTTCAAACTAATTAATATTTGTTGGGTAGGTCATTTGATTCACAGAAGCATTCTTGGAGGAAGAGTACACACACAAAGGAGTGCATCTTCTATTACAAAATCGTAGATGTCAGACGCACAGGGACAGGAAAAAGTGGACCCCAAAGTTATAGAATGTTCCAAATGCATCTTGAATTGTAGAATTTAAAAAAAATCACATTTAAGAAAAAACAACAACCAAGATTTAACTTTACAAATGTACATCCATCATACTAACCACAGTTACAAACAGCCATGTATCATTGCAGTAGAATGCACAAGGTTTTCATTTCAACTTGGTTGTAAATGTAATGAAACTAATATTAATTTGATGAGGCACTTGGAAAGCACTGTGAAAGAGACAACCAAGGGATTGCATATGATTTACTTTTAAACTATCGCTTGAGTTCAAAATCACACATATTTCATCCAGTTGCTTTTGAGTACATGGAGGTGCAAAATCTTTTTCATTCAAAAATAAGTTGCATTAATTTAAACTCAACAATTTTCCCAATAATTGAAAAATCGAATAACAAAATTTAAGGAAATATTTACATTTTATACAGGAGTAGGGTTGTATCTTATACTTGGAATACACATCATGCATTGACTTTGTATTCGCTGAGACAAATCTGAGAAAATTGAACTAAATTGCCTTTCGTGGTAATACCTTCCCCCTCATTGATAATACTTTCAAGATGTACAATGCGTTATTTGCAAACAATGTGAAGGGTCATTCCTTTGCTCTCATTATTGGACCACCAGATCTAGCATTTTATAGGAAGTAGGCTTAAAGTATAAGAGTCATGTATACAAACACCAAAGACCTTAGAAATAAACCAAATATACAGTATTATCGAATGTTGTATTGAGGGAATGAACTTTAATGTTCTTTTTCAAAACAATGTTCGATGTCTGATGGAAGTGTTTGGTGGATACGCTGGATAGCCCCAGTTTAATTAATTCTGTCCTTACACTCGGTGATAGACCTGTACAGACCGTTGTGCAGCCACTACCAGCTCACCATCCGATGTGAATGTGATGCCCAGTAGAGAACCACATTCCTTGATCACACATCCAATGTACTTGCCATCAGGACTGTAATGCAGAATATCACCTGTTGGATCTCCATACACGGCAACATAGATGCTGCCATCACTGTCACAGCACACACCAGTAGGGCCCCAACCCCTCTGCATGTTGCTGGTCATGTCTACTGAGAATACACTGGCACCAAAGTACTCTACACATACCAACCTTTTATTAGGCCCGTTTATGTAGATAAGGCGGTGATTGTGCATTGTTAGATAATATCCCATCATTGGAGCAGGCAGTCTCCTGATGCGGGATCCATCTGGGTTGTGTAGAGATATCTCCTCCTTGCCTGCATAACCCACTGCTATCAGATTGCTGTCATCCACTGCAAGGCATGTTGGTTGGCTGTCTGACCCTCTACCTGGTGTGAACTGATGGAGGAGCTGATGTTGCTTGTTGAAGACCTTGACTACTGGACCATCTAGAGCAAGGAGCTTGTCATCCTTGCTCACTGCAATACACATTGCATCAGTGAGGCCATTGATTTGTAGCCTTTGTGGGATAGGAGATGGTGTTTGTTGAGTATTGGTCAGTGATACTGTGAATAATGTATTATTCCAATTGGTTAATACTATTTTATTGTCAGAGAGTGCTGACAAATTATGTATCTGTGTATTTCCTAATTCAAAGTTCTTGAATTCAGTCTTCCGTTCCCATTTCTCCTTCACACATGATCTTGCAGGTCTTGGTGATTGCTTTGCTGCAACCTTTGGCTCTTCTTCTGGAATGAGTCTCCCAAGTGACCTCTCACCTTCTTCAAAGTCCATGAAAGTCAATTTGTTAGGAACTTGCTGTGGCTGTTTCCCTGTCAGTTCACTGAGGTTATGCAAGAGCTTCTGCTGAAGTTCAAGAATCTCATAGCAACTTGCTTGATTCATGAGTTGTTTCACCTCCTCCAGCTTGTGCTCTGTCTGGGTCACATCTTTGCTGTTATTGGCTTGAGCTGCATCAAATGTTGTTACTCTTTTTTGATAAATCCTGTCAGTCTCTTTTAACAGTTTCTGCTCCTCCTGTCGGATCTTGGCAACCTCTTGGTCAGCTTTCTCTGTGATTTTCTTTTTGGTGTTTGCAAACATGGTATTGAGTTTCTTGCGAGATTTGCAAGTCTTCTCAATGATGTTGTTCAGTTTTGTTTTACTCTTACTAACACTTGCAACAAGTTCTTTAACTTTTTTCTTACATTTCTCAAAAGCCACAGGTAATCCAATGAGGGAGTGTTTTGCATGGTCAAGTACCGAGCAAGTTGTACATATGACTTGCTGACATGTGTTGCAGTAGACATTGAGATTCTGATCTGGATGATTACCACATTTTGGAATGTCTTCTCTTAGTTTACTCTTGTAGACAATCTCTCCTGATCGAAGTTGAGCCAGTGTGTAGATTTTATGAGATTTCATGAAAGTCATACGTTCATGAGCCTTTTGACATTCTTGACAGAGGAAATGATCACAGTCCATGCATCTTGAAATAGCCTGATTCTCCTCATCACAATTATGACATTTGATGTCTGACCCTTGACCTTCCAGTAGCTTTTCCTGCATTGTAACTTCCTCCACCAGGGCGCTGAATGCAAAGTTATTAGGGAGATCAGCAACCCCAGACCCTTTCAACATGGTTTCACACCTGCACAGAGGACATGTCAGCTTTGTACCACTAGGATCTTGGCTCTGTCTGAGCTCTTGGAGGCATTGCAGGCAAAAACTATGCAAACAGTCCAGCAGTTTGGGCTGCCTGAAACGGTTGGTGCAGATGGAGCATTCCAGATGATCCACACTAATCTTCTCCAACACTGATTGCGCTGTAACACTAGATGCCATCTTCACTGGTTGATTTGATGTGATAGGGGTAGGCCTACATGTAGACGGAACTTGAACCTGCAAATGAAGCACGTTGAGTAAATGTTTTTGAAATTACATGTATTTAATCTTAAAATGATCACATAGTTTTAATAATGAGTTACATGTATATGTAAGTAAAATAATTATATCAAATTGAGTACTAAGGAAGTTGAAAGATTATTCCCCTACTATAAGCATGATACAACCTGTAAAATTATCCTATTAATCATCTCAAACATTGTCAACATGTTTTGTTGCCTTAGTTCTTGGGTTTACGTATTAATATGTAATTAATTCAATACATTGACATAACTTCAATGTGCAGGGAGGCACTTGCGATTGGTGGCCCCACTCTTTAACCATAATGGCCCCCCCCCCTGGAAAATGGGGGGGAAAAGGAGAAAGGAAAAAAAGGGGGGGGAGGAAAAAAGAGGTGCGAAGCCATATTGTTGTTATTTTGATGGGGGGGGGGGCGAGGGCAAATGCTCCCCTGCTCATGCCTTGAAAAATGATAAATTGAGAATATAATGTAAAAGTTAAGGAATTTTGGGGAAATATTTGCTTTGCCCCCCCCCCCCCCCTTTTCGGAAAAAAAAATCTTGGGGACACCCATGTCTTTAACCCCCCAAAATTGTTTTTACCTCCCCTAAAAGTATACCTTAGTTATTCCCCTGAATAACTAAGTGGAGGTAAAAGTGGAGGTAAAATGATTTTTGGACATTTTAGTTACAATTAGGTTTATTAGCACAAATTAGCATTATGTTCATCACAGCTCCTGGTTTAAAATGTTCAACAATTTTAATTCATTTCAACGTACCTACACAGTTTCCCAACTGTTTAGTTTATTTGAAAGTTTGAAACAAAGAGCCATCTATGAATAATATTTGTTTGCTATTGCCAGGGTTTGCACCCTTGCGAATGTGAGTTTGGGCATGATCCCTGGCTACATGGCATCAACCTATCCACAACTTCTGACTAGTGCCCCTTGAACAAAACAATTTCAATTTGAGGAACCGCCACCATAGGGCTGGTCCGCGATAGCTCAGTTAGTAGAGTGTCAGTACAGTAATCTGCAGGTCATAGGTTTTAAACTCCACTTGATCAAGTTCTTTGTTCAACTTTTGAACTTTCATTTCAGGTTCAAATATAGGATCAAGGATAGTTTTAGTCCTCTCAAGGTAGACTGAACAGGGAAATTTTTGTGCGAATCTACATGTAAGAGTTTTATGCATTCGAGCATTGACTCTGTCTTTGGTAAGATGAGTGCTGCACAAACTGGCATGTTATTCCAAGATTCTTAACAAATGTCATTAAATACGTGAACAACATAAAATACACTTACCTGAATTGAAGTTAGTTTTAGAAAGAAATTCAAACTTATCCTTCTGAAAGATGACGCAGTATCTGTAGTTTACACAGTTTGATGTGAATGCAATACACTGTACATGAACATGAATGTTGAACTATCATTACACACAGGACGTAAACTCCCAGTTCTATTTTAAGAAGCTGTTGGAGTCCGTGTATACATGTACTGTACCGGATGCTTTCTTGCTCACATCCGGTGCAGGTTTCCTGTGTATCAATATCAGTCAGTGTTTCCATGACCCCGGTGACCCCACAAATATAGAATCAGAAGACAAATGCTATTTGTGCAGTAAGCAGCCCTGGTGATTTTCAAATTTCAGCCTGAAAATAATGTTTTAGTGTTAATTTAGTTTTGTTCCAATAGCAATCTATTTGCTCACTTGGGTTGAAAAACAAATAGAATTTTTTTTTTATTAAATAGCTAATGAAAAAATATATATTTTTTGAATCTATTTTGTTCCACAATTGTATTTCACCCCCCCCCCCCAAAAAAAAAGGGGACATCTTAAAAATAAAAAAAATATACAGTGGTAAAATAGGTTGCTATTAAAAATTAGGATGCTTTTTTTTTAAATACTGCCCAAACAATGGTTACAACTTAATATGCATGTACATGTAGAGCACAGAAATCCATATGGCAGATGATCTCTCATGTTGGAAATGTGCGCACATGGCGGTAATGCAAAATCATTTGCATACATTTGATAAATGAGCATCTTTAGCAGTATACATACATGAAATAAGCAAAAAAGAACCAACTGAATTAATTTAAGAAAGGATAATTGAAATAAAATAGACGAATAGTATGCAGTTTGAAAAAAGAAACAAAATAGGATGGCCACCAGAAAAATAGGGATAAAATAGTGCAGCTGTGCTTACTTATTTTGAATAGGATAAAAAATATATATTTTACCACTTTTCTTGCATAAAATCTTAAATAGAAATTAAATAGGATTCTGCCAGATTAAGATCCAGATTCCTGAAAGAGTTAAAGAAATCTGATGGGGTTATATATCCCCATAAATGTCTGAAATACTGGACTTCTTCCGTCGTGAGCTACACATGCATGCAAAATTTCCCAAGAAGTTGTTTTTCCTGAATTTGAAATCTAGATGGATTTTTTCACTATATATTTTCTAAGGATGCTAAAAATATTGAAAATATTGAGGTATTCATAAAAAAAATTAAGATAAACTTATCAGACATCTGACATAATGTATTGGTGATCGTGAGGGCTCAGTCAGCGTGCAGGTTGACTTGATGCAATCCGTTGTCACAACTGATGCTTGTTGATGTTGCCAATCCAGACTGTGTATGTGGTCCCTGTACAAGATCCCTATATGAAGTCGCTAAGGAGGATGATTTTATCCAACAGAGGAATGACAAGGAGATTCTGATCCAGGAGAATGTAAAATGAATTCTTTGCATTGTTAGCAGCAGCCTGATAATGTTGACTAAATGTTTAAACATTCGAGCAACATGAAATATGTGCAAAACTGTTTACAAAAATAACCATGGGTGACCATAGTTACAGTATTTTATCAGTGGAATTTGATGTTGTATTCTCCCCCTCCCTTCTTCCCCAGGTCCTAGGCTCATGGTGAGACGATTCTAGCTCCTGGGGTTCTGACACCAACATCCCCTCTAGAAGGACCAAGACCGCGTGGTCAGCGACGCTGAGATGTGACACATGACGCTCACCAGACCGGCTAAGGTTGGTGCTTATTGGGTCAGTCACTACCGAACACCATTACCACACTGCAAAAACAGATAGACAAGCAAGACCCTGTGGAGGAATTCAAGCTGACTTTGGGGTAAAACTTTGGTTCAGTGAATATTTCAAGAACTCACAACTTTAAAAGTCTCAAAAAAATTTCATGAATGTCTGTAGTCTGTAGAACTTCAAGTGAAATTATCAGATCTTCCCATTTTCGTATCTGCAAAGCAGAATGTATCAGAATACAAAGGCTTTTTTTCAACCAATTGTTACCGACAACAAACCAAATTTTGCACTCGATCAGTAATAGCTTAATGTGTTACCAGACAGTTTTGCCAATGTTTCATTGAGTCAGTGAAATTTGACTCACCAGTGACATGTCCCCGATGTCTAGTCTGAGTCATGAGTTGAGTCATGAGAGCCAAGTTTGAGTCATCATCCATTGTAACTTGAAGTTAAGTTTGAGAATTTGCAACTCAAGTCAAACTCAAATCCGAGTCACAGACTAGGTTCTATATTTCTGCCATACTGGTGTATGGCTATGTTGTCCATGCGCTTGCTGAAGAATGAATATGGAAACGACTAAGTCAGCCAAAGATAACTTGATTCGTCATTGAGGTCCGAGCTAGAGAGAGAACAAGCAATGTAATGTGTGTTGTCTGTCGATTTGTTCACTTTGAAATGTAGGTGCTATATGAAATGTCAGTGGCAGTCAACTGTGAGGAAGCCAAGAAACCTGTCTGCAAAAACAAGAACAGATTCCCCAATGCACTTCCATGTACAGGTAAGTTCATTTTGTAGAAGTTAGTATACTTTTAAATAGACTTTTAAGTTGAAAAGTGGCCTCTATGAGCTCAGTGCACTACCAAAAGAGGGCACCTTTTTTACCTAGCAACGACGTCCCATGGGCGGTACATTTCGCTGGTTGACGCGCACCGTTCCTTTTGTGTGACGCGCGTACACCAGGGGATTTGTTCTATGTACACACAGTGGCTGCGCACCCCCAACTGTACTTCCTTTGCCGGTGAGGGGGTACTTGTGAACGGAGCAGATAGGCAAACACTTGTTGGCACACTCACACTGCATTGTGAATTGTTCTTGAATATCGAGTCTTCAAGAAGTTGCTGTCATGTACATCTAATAAAACGGAGACAAGACATAAATTATGACTTTATGTTATAAATTGTGTTAGCAAAAACAGCCTGTGTCAAACAGCTGGTATTGATATGTTACTTGATGCATGAACGTCCTGTGACTTCAAATGATCATCACATAATATTTGAAATAGTGCGCGTAATGTGAATGCCCTCTTGCGTATGATAACAGTTTTGAAAGCTAATGTCGATAACATCTCCATACCTGTTGATGTATTACAACAACATGGCATCAAAATTGCTCAGTCAACAGCTTAGGACAAATTTCAAAATGAAATGATGTCATGCTGACTCATGATTGGCCGGCGCTCAGGGTTGCGTAAATTTGCATGTGTAAATGTATCAGATGTTTGGCCATAGTCAGAGGGGGATACAACGAGTGATACTCAGACTAGTGTTAAGGCTTCATTTTTACAAAACCAATTTGTATTTCAATTTATTCAGAAAAGAGTGGACTGCAACATTAGGCAAAAAGGGGGTTGATACCATTCAAACCTTGCTTTGTTATGTCTGTAACTAATGTCAGTTGTAAATATGAAAGGGGCTGTGAAACCTGATCATTATGATGTTAGAATTTCATATTGTACATTTCATGGGGCACGTGCGTGCCCCCCCTCCACCACAACCCCCCCCCCCCCCCCCCACAGTGGAGTTCCATGCCCCCCCCCCCCCGGTTCCCCCACCCCTCTTTGGAATATTGAATTGCACACCACAATATATTTATATGTTAGCTTCAGTTCCCCCCTCAAAAAATTGGTGAACCCCCAGGTGCCCCCGTCCCACAAGTTTATAAGCCTAGTTACGCTGCTGTATCTTTAGAAAGCTCCAGATGCTGATTGGTAAAATAACAGACTTGTGATCTTTGCTGAAATGCCATTGTATCGCATGTCATTTTGCCTCAAATTAAGTTGCCCGGCAGAAAGTGCTTATTCATTTGTAGCACTGTTGGGCATTTTTCAGAGATTGTGTCAATAAAGGGTTTTCTGACTCCACATTGACATTCATTCATTGAGATTTAATTCTGGTGATCCAGCATTTCATACTGAAAACATGCATTTTTCAAAGCAGTAGGCCTGAGGAATGTCCAGAAAAGGAGTAAAATATCAGCAGATATTACCTACCATATGCCACCTGACTTGAATAACATGATTTAAAAACACAGTTATTGTTTTTGATTTGGCTAATTATTATGAACTGCACTTCTTGTACATCCTATGAGAATCAACAGAAATAATTTGAAATTCTAGGTATTTTGATAATTTTACTACACCAGTTGTGTTCATATGGCCACCAACGAATCCTATACATTTGTATCATGAAAAATGTTTACACCCCTATTTCTACAAATTTAACCATTCATTAAAGGGAAAATACAACATTTGCAAACATCAAAAATAAAACTACCAAATCATTTTGAAATACCTTGCTGGACTGTTAGTGAATGACAGTGTAAAGCATCCTGTAAAATCATGGCACCTGGTATACTGTCATTTTCAAGAAAAGTGGTATTTTTGTATCAATTTCCAACGCTGATCGGCCGATCAGCGTTGGAAACAACTGGCTTTTTTTCAAATACTGGCCCCAATTGACCATCGCACTTGTTTGCAATCGATTTCAAACCTATGAAAGGGTACGAGCCAGCTAGACTGGTTCCCTGACCTTACAATTCCCCAATGTATGTAAACTGCCCAGTTTCTTCTTATATGGAGTCAGGGAACCAGACTACAGGAAAATGATCGTTTTTCTTGGCTTTTATAGCATTTTCGAACCCAAAACCTCAAAAAAGTCCGTGTAACTATATTTGCTATATATTTCCAAACCCCAATTCCATCCATTTCTGAAAATTACAGCAAAAGCAAATGATGTATATTCCCTTTAATTGATGTCATAGACTAGGCCAGCATTACACATTTCAGATATCAATTTTTTGGATATTTAATTCTATTCACGTTTGCTCCATGAATGAAGGGGAAACATGATTAGTCAGTCTAGATAACAAAAAATGTGAAGACAAAATCATTTTTATTTCACATCATGAAAATCTGATAAATGACTAGTACCTTATAGTTTATATGGTGATAACATGATTATTTCTTAAAAACAGTCACTATGCACTGATGAAGACCATTGTCTGTCACACTGTTTGAAATGGTGAACTCTTCTGAAGGTTTTGAATGAAAAATTGTTTCTGCTAAGAAGATTTATAACCTGTTAGCCTATGTTGTGAAATTATTCAGATTGGCATGTCTTAACTAAAACCTCATAAATCATCAAGATGGTTGTTTGATTTAAAATCCTGTAAAATGAGAGCAACTATAAATACACCTCGTTACCCAATAACCAGGTCAGAGAGTATTCTGTTGCTACATTGATAGGTTCTTTATAAACAATATAAACTTCCCTGTCAATGGAGACTGATATCCTTTTGATCGGCCGAGCCACATGTCAAAATTCAATTATTCTTGGATCCCAGTTGTTACTTAGATTATATGAATAAAATTATAAGATAATGACTGACTTCTTATGATGCACGTTGCTCAATCTAAGGCACTTCTCAGTTGTTGCTTTATACCAAATTTGACAGTCTTTTTTAAATTTTTTTTATTTTATTTATTAAGCTCTGCCAGGAGCTAGCTTTCTTAATGTCACTCGGTGGTCGGTCGATCTGTCTGTCCCCGAAAAATTAATAAAAATAAGCCCCCTAAGTTTCCTACAAAATATAACCACCAAATTTTACATTGATGAAATTGCAAACAAAACAAATTAAATACTTCAAGAAATTGTTTGTAACAATTTGGAAAGATGTTTATGGTAAGTTTGTAAATGGAGGCAAAATAATTATGTGCTGTATTTATTACACATTGCCATCAATCTACCATCCTGGCCAAAACTCGCTGGGCCCCCAACTTCCTGGCCTTCGCTCAATGTTGTCTCTCATTGCGCAGTGTGTGCTCCATCTGCTGGAATGAACAACATTGACCGGGGGAGTGGGTGACCCTTGGGGGCTAAGGTTATTTCCAAGTGTCCCAACCATTTTGGCCGGGATTGTAGGTATATCTCTGCTCTGGCAGGGATCATTTTGATAGATTTCATGCAAGACTTTCATATAAGACGGCCCAAGCTTATTGTGCATTAGCACTTGTTTATGAAATCAATCACTTGGCAACTAACTTAAATTCTCACTGGATAAGAAAGTGGCATCATTTTCTTGGACTAGATTAAAAAAAAATAGGATTATTCTTTGGTAGAAATTTGATAGCAAACAAAAGAATGATGTTGACAAGCTCTAAGAATACAAAGATTCAGCCAAATTTGTTTAAACACTGTGTTGCTTCCCAGTGAGTCCTGGAATATTGTATTTACACATTTTAAGTTCATTGCTACTAAAAGGTTTTCATTTTCACCATTTCAGGTTTTCATCTTCACCACTCAACCCTGCTTGCTTTGATTGGATACCTTGCTGCACAATTCTTTGCATTCAAATCAACAAGAGCTTGACTTGTTTCATTTGTACAAAAGAAATAGTGAGAATTATCTCCGGTTTCTGGTATGGAGCTTGTCCAAAAAGTGGTGCGGCGACGCGGCTTTTTTTTTTTTTTTACCCGACTTTTTTGCTTCGATTTGCTTCAAATGTCGGCTGATGACTGCAAATGGTGCCCGACTAAACTTAGTGCAAATATATGGGAGTCCAGAGAGGCCACATAAAGCTTATTCTCGATCATAACCCCATCTAAAAACACGTTGAAATTGCGCAGCAGCAGAATTCCAGTCAAACCAGTGAGTTTGGCGGTTTTGAGACATCATCTTTCATTGAAAAAAAAAACTTTTTCATTTTGCCGACACGCATGGCTACGGCGATGCGCGCGCATACCAGAAACCGGAGACTTTTTTTGGGGGCCTAACGAGTTTTTTGAAAAAAATCAAAGAAATCTGCAGTTTCAATAATTTTGAAAGATATAATACCTGTTTCAAGTAATAAAATCAAAGTTTGGATGTATAATAGCAAAATTTGCCAAGCTTTTAGTAACATCAAACTAGCCTCAAGTTCCTACCCTTTAGACACAGTGGCACACCAAGGATTTGGCTTTTTGGGGGGGAGCTCACTTTTTTTTTATCAAATGTGTTTGGCCGCAGAACAAAATTGAGGGTTTTTTTGGGGGGGCGGCTGACAATTTTTACATTTGTGGCGCCAATTGCACCCCTATTATGCTACTCTAAAATAGGCCACATACAGGTCAAACCGTAGGACTAGAAAAAAATTTGGCCCCCTCCTCCCCCAAAAATGACAACCTCTGGGGGGCTCTTGGGGCTCAAGCTCCCGAGGCCTTCCCCATCCCTTGAGTGCACCACTGCTTAGATAGCGTAAGATCATCATTTTTACTTGTTATAAAAACCGGAGGTGTGAATGGTTATAACAAGATTATGGTTAACAAGATGGTTCTAACAAGATTATGTACGTACAAGGATTTGCCCTGTCTTCCAAGATTAGGGCCCACGATTTTATCTAACTGGCAACTAGTCACTTCAGTCTATGTTATGATTACAATCTGTGCTAAATGGTATTATAGCCAAGAAATGGTTTACTAACCAAGTAATTACCACAGAATCCTTCACTCATCAGCAACCATATAAACACATCACTTTTTTAATGTGAGCTTATATGCAGGGGAATACCTATACATTTCCCAATTTCAGTTCTGTTTAGTGATGTGAAAGGAGTTTTTCAATATTTTGGATAAACTCCCTGAGAATTTGAGTTTGAACAAAGCATGCATGAGTATCACTATTTCTTGTTACTTTTTCTTAGGAAAGGTTATTTTTCTATTCCCTTGGTGTAATTATTCTGTCCTTACACTCGGTGATAGACCTGTACAGACTCTCCTGCAGCCACTACCAGATCACCACTTGATGTGAATGTGATGCCACGTGGATAACCACATCCCTTGATCACACATCCAATGTACTTGCCATCAGGACTGTAATGCAGAATATCACCTTTTTGATATCTGCCCACAGCAACATAGATGCTGTCATCACTGTCACAGCTCACACCAGTAGGGCAACCCCCCTGCATGTTCCTGGTCATGTCTACTGAGGATAGACTGGCACCATAAAAGCCTACACATACCAATCTTTCCTTAGGCCAATTTGTGTAGATGAGGTGGTGATTATGCATTGTTAGATAATCCTCAATCATTTGAGCAGGCAGTCTCCTGATGAGGGATCCATCTGGGTTGTGTATAGATATCTCATCCTCGTCTCTGTAACCCACTGCTATCAGATTACAGTCATCCACTGCGAGGCATGTTGGTTGGCTGTCTGACCCTCTACCTGGTGAGAACTGATGGAGGAGCTGATGTTGCTTGTTGAAGACCTTGACTACTCGACCATCTAGAGCAAGGAGTTTGCCATCCTTCCTCACTGCAATACACCTTACATCATCAGTGAGGCCATTGATGTGTAGCCTTTGTGGGATAGGAAAGGGTTCCTGGTAACTATTGGGAATTGAAGCTGTGAATAGTGCACCACTGTTTCCAGAATAATTTTTAGATAGTACAAGTATTTTATTGTTAGAGAGTGCTGCAACATGTGATATATATGTTTGTGTTACTCCAATGTTCGTGGCTTCACTCTTCAGTTCCCATTTCTCCTTCACACATGATCTTGGAGGTCTTGGCGTTGGCTTTTCTGCAGCCTTTGGTTCTTCCTCCAAAATGAGTCTCCCAAGTGACCTGTCACCTTCTTCAAAATCCATGAAGGTCAACTTGTCAGGAACTTGCTGTGGCTGTTTCCCTGTCAATTCACTGAGGTTATGCAAGAGCTTCTGCTGAAGTTCAAGAATCTCATAGCAACTTGCTTGATTCATGAGTTGGTTCACCTCCTCCAGCTTGTGCTCTGTCTGTGTCACCTCTTTCCTGTTGGTTGCTTGAACAGCTTCAAAAGCTTTGAGTTTGTCTTCATAAATCGTGTTTGTCTCTTTCAACAATTTCTGTTCTTCCTTTTTGATCTTTGCAACCTCCTGTTTGAGCTTTGTAATCTCCTGTTGAGCCTTTTTGGAGATTTTCTTTTGAGTGTTGGCAAACATGGTGTCCAGATCCTTGCGAGATTTTAACATCTCTTCTATGGTGGTGCTCAATTCTGTTTTTCTTCTCTCACTGTTTTGGACCATTTCTGTGACCTTCTTCTTACATTTCTCTACTGCCTCAGGTAATCCAGTGAGTGAGTGTTTTTCATGATCAAGTACAGAGCATGTTGTACATATGACTTGCTCACATGAGTTGCAGTAGACATTGAGATTCTGATCTGGATGCTCGTCACATTTGGGAACTTCTTCTCTAAGTTTACTCTTGTAGACAATCTCTCCTGAACGAAGTTCAGCCAGTGTGTAGATTTTGTGAGATTTCATGGCAGTCATTCGTCCATGTGCCTTTTGACATTCTTGGCAGAGGAAATGATCACAGTCCATGCATCTTGAAATAGCCTGATTCTCCTCATCACAGGCTTGACATTTGATGTCTGACCCTTGACCTTCCAGTAGCTTTTCCTGCATTGTAACTTCCTCCACCATGGCACTGAAGGCAAAGTTATTAGGGAGATCAGCAATCCCAGACCCTTTCAACATGGTTTCACGTCTGCACAAAGGACATGTCAGCTTTGTACCAGTACCACTAGAATCTTGGCTCTGTCTCAGATCGTGGAGGCATTGCAGGCAAAAACTATGCAAACAGTCCAGCAGTTTGGGCTGCCTGAAACGGTTGGTGCAGATGAAGCATTCCAGATGATCCACACTAATCTTCTCCAACACTGATTGAGCTGTAACACTAGATGCCATCTTGACTTCTTGAAAATCAAGTTTTGAGTTGAACCTAAGAATGGATAAAAGTGTCAAAGGTTGACTTCAATATATAAAATGATTATATTAATCATCTGCAACATTGTCAACATGTTCTGTTTCCTTAGTTCATGGGTATCAATTCATCACCGTGTTCACGAAGATCGAGCCAAGACAATGTGTTTTCGAGATAACCACAGAAGAATTTTCTCCTCTTCTAAAACTGCAAAAAAAAAACTACTTATGATTCTATGAAAGCTTAATTTTTATGTGAACTCAGTATGTAGAACAGTTGTTAATTAGTGAAAATTAATTAGTGAAGACGTGTGGCTTTTTTTGAAAATGAAAATCTCAGTTGACCCACCTTGATACCTATTAGTGCAATAGGTTTTGTACGTGTCAAGGGGCCAAAATTTGGCTCTTCGTGAAAATGCAAAATGCATTGATTGAGTTTTCTGCCCCTTGCAACATTAATGTAACTTGGAAATTAATGATGTTTTGCTTTGGTTAAGTACAGTGTTTTAAAACAAACTAGTGAAAAAAATGAAAATCGAAAAAATTGTAATTTTTGACATCTGTGGCTCTTCATGCAAACGGTGATGAATTGTAATGTGTAATTAATTCAGTTGATTGACATAACTCCAATGTGCAGAGAGGCACTTGCAATTGGACGGCCCCTCTCTTTAAATCCCCCCCCCCCCCACAACAACAAAAAATATATTGAGCTACTCTTAATTAATACTGTATTAGAAAAAAATGATGTGAAATGCTTTTTGCTTATAGGCTTATATTTTATTAATTCAAAGCATTGACATGATGAGCTCCAATGTACAGGGAGGCTTTTGGGTGATCCCACTCTCTGGAGGGGAAACTAATTGTAGTTTTTAATCCCCCCACCCCCAATTTTGTGTTGCATTAAGGGAGCGCGGGCTGACTGAGGTGCATGGCCCTCCCTCCCCTTTTTTGGTTCCATTGAATACAATATTTTACATTTATATCTAGTCAGCCACAACCAAAATACAATATAGCATTGAGGAAAATCACGATAAAGCATTTATAGGGGAAGAAACAGATAAGAAAAACACCAAAAAAGCAGTGCTAATGTGACTTTGGGCATGATCCCCAGCTGCATGGCATAAACACATTCACAGCTTCTGTCTAGTGCCCCTTGAACAAAGACAATTTCAAACTGGGGAACCGCCAACATAGGGCTGGTCCGGAATAGCTCAATTGAGTGTTATACAAGTAATCTGCAGGTTATAGGTTCAAACCCCACTTGATCAAGTTCTTTGTTCAACTTTTATTTGAGGTTCAAATGTAGGATCAAGGATATGTTAAGTCCTCTCAAGCCAGTAGACTAAACAGGGACATTTTTGTCTAGAGTATTGTATTTGAGCATTAACTACTCCCTCTTGTAAGACCATTGCTGCACATACCGGTACTGGCAATTATTCCAAGATTCTTGACAAATGCCATGTAATATGGGCACAACCACAGTACAACATCAAGTATCTTACCTGAATTGAAGTCTTTTTGTTAGTTTTAGAAGAAAATTTGAAACTATCCTTCTGGAAGATGGCGCGCAACATAGACAGTTTACAACGTTTGATGTGTATACAATACACTGTACTTGTTCATGAATGCATATGATTGCACATAGTGCGTAAATTCCCAGTTCTATTTTAAGAAGCTATTGGAGTCCGTGTATACATGTACTGTACCGGATACTTTCTGCTCACATCCGATGCAGGTTTCCTGTTTAGAAATAGCAGCCAGAGTTTCCATGACCCTGGTGCCCCAGCCCACAAAAATGGAATCAGAAGTCACCGATGCTATTTTGGGACTAAACAGCCCTGGTGATTTTCATATTTCAGCCTGAAAAAAAAATGTACAGCATTTTTTTTGTTCACTTTTGAATAAAGCACTGCCCTCAAAACTTGCCTCATTTTGTTATTAATTATATATTATATGTTTCAATCACTTGTTGCCCAATGGTGATTCCGGTTCATGAGAGCATGGAAGAATGTATATTTTATTTTTCTATTATGAGAGCTTGAAAAGTAATCAAAAAAAAAACTTTTCCTAGGAGGGTTGCAGATGCAAAATAAAAGGGTGTGGTTTTTTAGGGGATGGGGGTGGGAGTAAGAATACAATACACAAAATTGGGATTTGTCAGGAAAAGAAATCTTTTTTTTTTAATTCCCAGGGCAAGGAGCCTTCAAATATATATTAAGGCTGGTTGGGCTATTTTAATGTGAATATTTCTTTATGTCATCACTTGTCTAGTTCGAGACACTAAAAAATAGACAATATATCTACAAAAAAGGGGAGACTTGACATGAGTACAGTACTTCTTAAGAATTGCAACTTTGTTATCAAATTACTTTCAGCTCATGTCTTAGGGTCTGAAAGTGATCTTGTGAAACTCATCACTAAATTAGTGTTCTTTTTCGAGTTTTACCTTGAAATCAAAGGTTTTACCAAGGAAACAAAACTTTTTTGGGGGGATTTCTTTTTTTTATTCACTTCTAAATGATACATCAAATGGAGAAAATTGCTCCCCCAACATTCAGTTTTAAAAAAATTACCCCAGAAATTTTGAATGATTTGCCATCAAACCATGATTAGCTCCTCGTATGTTTAACTGGTTCCTAGCTGTCCCTATCGCGATCAATAATGTAAATGCTAGGAAGGAGTCTCCTTGCATTGTGCATTTGTTTGTGCACAAAATTAATCCAAAATAAAAGCCTTTTAAAGAGGGTTGCAGCTGCCCTAAAATAAAAATTTTACATAAAGATTAGAAGTGACGTGTTGAAAATTCATTCAAATATGGTTTCCCTTTACAACAAAAGACAAGCGCCCAATTGACAGAAGGGCAAAAGAAATGAGTAGGTTGGACTACAGAATGATTAAATAATTCTTGATTCCATATTTGATTTAATTAAACTCTTCAAATCCAAAGAGATTAAAATGTCTCCAAGAAAATCCACAATGAAAATCAAGCCTCAGATTAAAACCTGAGTGGAATTTGCCCAGTCAGTGACTATATCGAGCCACTTCTGGTTTTACAATATCTGTTTATAATTTCAGGAAAACATCAATGCAAAGCCAACTATAAAATTACAAGAAGATCCATTTCAACACGGTTGTCATGTAGTGAAATTCACTGCTATAAACAACCATTACAGATGTTACGTTTTAAGGCATAGATTTTTGATTTTCAAGACTCAGTGATAAAAGTCTGCAGTTTCTTGCAAGAACATGAAGAAGTTTTCTTACCGAAGCAGCCATTGTTTTTATTCTCTTTGTTGCGATTGTGATGATAGTTTGTTGTGTCACATTCAGAACAAACAGCCATAAGACATATCAGATTGCAGGTTTTTTGGAAGGGAAATCTGGGGTTAACTCTGTAAAAGTCTCCTGACATCGGACAGAGCATGCTGGCCGTAGCATTGAGGTTAATACCTGTCTCTTCAGAACCATCACATACTCACAAAAGAGATTAATTTCACATGGTGCCACCGCAAACTTACCTTGCTGTTATCCTCACCATACAAACTTATCATGCTTATCTAATGAAAAACAGTTTTGTAAAACGCAATTTGGTTGTGATGTCAGCAATCAGCGAAAAGAAATTTAGACCCGAAGCCAAACCAGATGGGATCAAAGTTTCACTTCTTGAAACTATCAGTGAGACACATGACTTTCTCTCTTGTCTTTATTGGGTTCATAATGTTCAAATATTGGTGACTGGAATTAACTCGAGCTAAATATTTGACTCGACTCGACTCGACTCTACCTTCTTGACCTTAATGATTCCTTACCATGGAAACTCTCCATTTTTTGGAAACAGCTTTGTAAAACAAAATTTGGTTTTGATGTCAGCGATCAGCGAAAACAATTCTAGACCCAGAGCCAAACCAGATGGGATCAAAGTTTCACTTCTTGAAACTGTTATGACACAAATTACTTTCTCTATTGTCTTTATTTGTTATATACATGTAGTGTTCAAATATTCATGACTCAAATTGGCTAAAGCTAAATATTTAACTCGACTCGACTCGATTCGACTCAACTCGACCTTCTTGATCTAATAACTTGACTCAACTAGACTTGAGTCCCCTCTTTAAAATGATTTGACTCGACTCGAGTCACTTCTTCAAATGACTCAACTGGACTCGAGTCGCAAAAAACAGTTACTCATTACAACTCAGCCGAGGAATGACAAGGAGATTCCAATCCAGGAGATAATAAAATGAGTCCTTGGCATTGTCAGCAGCAGCCTTTGTATGATGTTGGCTAAATGTTTAAACATGTGAACACTGCATTAAAAGCTCTGCAAAAAATGCTTACAAAAATAAACATGCATGACCATTATTACAGTATTACATTAGTAAAATGTGACGTTTGATCCTTCCCCCAGGTCAAGCCCATGTCCCCGAAGGCGATGATGATAATTCCAGCTCCTGGGGTTCCGACACCAACATCCCCATCAGAATAAAAGCCTTTTAAAAAAGGTTGCAGCTGCCCTAAAATAGAAATTTCACGTAAAAAATTAGCACAAATTTTATGTGCCGTGTTGAAAATTCATTCAAACGTGGTTTCCCTTTACAACAAAAGACAAGCACCCAATTGACAGAAGGGCAAAAGAAATGAGTAGGTTGGACTGCGGAATGATTAAATAATTCTTGATTCAATATTTGATTTAATTAAACTGTTCAATTCCAAAGAGATTAAAATGTCTCCAAAAAAATCCACAATGAAAATCAAGCCTCAGATTAAAACCTTAGTAGAATTTGCCCAGTCAGTGACTATATAGACCCACTTTCTGTTTCACAATATCTGTTTACAATTTCAGGAAAACATAAAATGCAAAGCCAACTATAAAATTACAAGAAGATCCATTTCAGCATGGTTGTCATGTCGTTGAATTCACTGCTGTAAACAACCATTACAGATGTTGCGTTAACGGCATAGATTTTTGGTTTTCAAGACACATTGATAAAAGTCGGCTTTTGCTTGCAAGAACATGAAGAAGTTTTCTTACCAAAACAGCCATTGTTTTTATAATTTGTTGCGATTGTGATGATACTTTGTTGTGTCACATTCAGAACAAACAGCCATAAGACATATCAGATTGCAGGTTTTTTGGAAGGGAAATCTGGGGTTAACTCTGTAAAAGTCTCCTGACATCGGACAGAGCATGCTGGCCGAAGCGTTGAGTTAATACCCGTTCTCCTCAGAACCATCACATACTCACAAAAGAGATTAATTCCACACGGTGCCACCACAAACTTACCGGGCTGTTATCCTCAGCATGCAAACTTTTCATTCTTATCTAATGAAAAACAGTTTTGTAAAACGCAATTTGGTTGTGATGTCAGCAATCAGCGAAAAGAAATTTAGACCCGAAGCCGAACCATATGGGATCAAAGTTTCACTTCTTGAAACTGTTATGATACAAATTACTTTCTCTCTTGTATTTATTTGTTACATAGTGTTCAAATATTCATGACTCAAATTGACTTGAGCTAAATATTTAACTCAACTCGACTCAATTCGACTCAACTCGACCTTCTTGATCTAATAACTTGACTCAACTAGACTCGAGTCCCTTTTTTAAAATGACTCGCCTCAACCCTCTGGACCTATGACTGGACTCGACTCGAGTCACTTCTTTAAAATGGCTTGACTCGACTCGAGTCACTTCTTCAAATGACTGAACTCGACTCGAGTCGCAAAAAACAGTTACTCATTACAACTCTGCCGAGGAAAGACAAGGAGATTCCAATCCAGGAGATAATAAAATGAGTCCTTGGCATTGTCAGCAGCAGCCTTTGTATAATGTTGGCTAAATGTTTAAACATGTGAACACTGCATTAAAAGCTCTGCAAAAAATGCTTACAAAAATAAACATGCATGACCATTATTACAGTATTATATTAGTAAAATGTGATGTTTTATCCTTCCCCCCAGGTCAGGCCCATGTCCCTGAAAGCGATGATGATAATTCTAGCTCCTGGGGTTCTGACACCAACATCCCCTCTAGAAGGACCAAGACCGCGTGGTCAGCGACGCCGAGATGTGACAGATGACGCTCACCAGACCAGCTAAGGTTGGTGCTTATTGGGTCAGTCACTACTGAACACCATTACCACACTGCAAAAACAGATGGACAAGCAAGACACTGTGGAGGAATTCAAGGTGACTTTGGTGTAAAGGTTTGGCTCAGTGATATTTCAAGAACTCACAACTTTAAAAGCGTCAACAAAATTGCATGAATTTCTGTAGTCTATAGAACTTCAAGTGATGTTATCAGATCTTCCCATTTTCGTATCTACAAAGCATAATGTGTCAGAATACTTGTTCAACCAATTGTTACTGTCAACAAACTAAATTTGACACTCGATCAGCAAAAGCTAAATTTATTACCAGACAGTTGTGCTGAAAATGTTTCGTTGAGTTAGTGAAATTTGACTCACCAGTGACATGTCCCTGATGTCTAGTCTGGGTCATGAGTTGAGCCATGAGAGCCAAGTTTGAGTCATCATCCAGTGTAACTTGAAATTAAGACTGAGAATTTGCCGCGCAAGTCAAACTCAAATCCGAGTCACAGACTCGGTTCTATATTTCTGCCATACTGGTGTATGGCTATGTTTTCCATGCACTTGCTGAAGAATGAATATGCAAACGATTAAGTCAGCCAAAGATAACTTGATTGGTAATTGAAGTCCGAGCTAGAGAGGAAAAAAAACCATGTAATACTATGTTGTCTGTCAATTTGTTCACTTGGAAATGTAGGTGCTATATGAAATGTCAGTGGCAGTCAACTGTGAGGAAGCCAAGAAACCTGTCTGCAAAAACAAGAACAGATTCCCCAATGTACTTCCATGAACAGGTAAGTTCGTTTTGTTGAAGTATACATGTACTTTGAAATAGACTGTTAAGTTGAAAAGTGGCCTCTTGAAGCAAAACCTTGTTGGCTCACTCACACTGCATTGTGAATTGTTCTTAATTGTAGGGGGGTGGGGGCTAAGGTAGTCTATGGAATATCCCCTTAGGTAGCAAGGGTCTGTCATGTCCGAGCAGACTCGGTGGTTAATTATGCAAAACAAGACTGCTTCTTGATCTCGAGATTCTGACCATTCAGCAGGCACATTCTATATTGGGTCTTTGGTAACCTGTTGTCATGTACATGTACATGTAAATCGTGCTAAAGCGGCCTGTAATGATATGTTACATGATGAGTGAACATCCTGTGACTTTCAGTGAACATCGCATAAATAACGTGCGTAATGAGAATGCCCTCTTGGACATTAACTTCTCGCCCTCAATGAGCGTTCCCTGCTAACAGATTTGAAAGCCAATGTTGGGTTTGATTCAATCTCTATGCCCGTTGTATTACAAAAACATGGCATCAGAATTTACCAGTCAACAACTTAGTCCAGATTTCAGAATGAAATGACAAAATGACGTCATGGCATGCAGGGTCGCATAAATTTGCATGCGTAGATATATCAGACGTTGGGCCAGAGACAGAGAGGGTGATACAATGGGTAATAGTCAGACTGGTGTTAAGGCTTCATTACTACAAAACCATTTTGTATTTCATTTCATTCAAAAACGTGTCCGTTCTCACCCTTAAAATTTTTGAATTACACACAATAGATACATTTAATACCAGAAGAGCCCCTCCCCCCCCCTTAAAACAATTGGTGAACCTCCAGCTGCCCCCTTGAAGCTTAATTTCTTAATCCTAGTTATGCTGCTGGTACCTTTAGAAAGTTCCAGATCACATACGTTTCACTCCCATAGAATGTGTGATACTTGTAAGTTATGTATTGGTGCGGCGGAAACTTGACTGTGCACTCAGAAACCATACGATGTCGTTCCTGACATCTAGGGGTGTCCTCTTGGTAGATGTTAAGTTTAACTGTTTCTATGCATGTAATTTAAAGAAATATTTACTTTAAATATATATTTTTAATAAGTATGCCCTAAACATGCTATTGCTATGAATTTATTTCTGGGGGAAAAATTCCAAGTGGTGATTTTTCCCTTGTCACAAGTGGTTGCTAAGGTACCAAAAAATTCTGAGTTTCGATCGTTCATGTGTCACTTTTCCAAGACATTTGAAGTTTCATAAAACCCCATGAGGCGATCTTTATCGTACAATCGATTTCTTTTAGCTACATTTTTTTGTTTTAATAAAAATTAGCAATTTTGAAAGCTGACTGAACGGTATTGTTTCAATGTTTATTTTTCTTATCGCGATACATGGCACCAGACATCAACAAACCTGACTAGTTTTCCAAGATTGTAGTGATGTACGCAATATATTTTCACAGCACTTGGACAATATTCAAATGCGGTCAATCAAGAGATAACAAAAATCAAGCAAAAATATGTTCACAAATTTGATTACTTGATAATCCCCTCCACCGTTATGTACAAGTATAAATGTTGGGGAAACCTCTGAAATTATGTTTTTGTCGAAAACAATATGGTCCTAAATGTAAACAAATGACACCTCAGAAAAGACAGATGTTTCACAAAGCTGCCGTTTCTACATTCTCAGAGACGGTTTTTAAAAATGTCTTCCGTAAAATAAACAGTGAATTAACTAACTAGTGATACAATAACAACTGCTCCCAAATTAAGTGGTCTATAAATGATGAAATAAAAATACATCTTTTTGAGTTGAATAATTGCTGTAAAATAGGCAGCCCTCATTATGTATGCAAATAACACTAGCAGTCACACATTCCCAGTGGAAAATGCAGCTAAAACGTATGTGAGATGCTGATTGGTAAAATAACAGACTTTGGATCTTTGCTGAAATGCCATTGTTGTCATGGAAGCTGCGTTCTCTTGGAGAGATATTCTGTAATTAAAGCAAATGCTCATTGCTCCATTTAGACTTCTTGGTCTATCAGCATTAATTAGCTAAGGGGCCGTTCACAATTATCAACATTTTCACAAGTGTACAAAGCGTACACTTTTTCAAGACCCCCCTCCCCCCTAAAAGTGTATGAAAAAAAATGTTGATTTTTTTCACACAAGTCTATAAACACTTGCATATGACTTCGTCAAATGTTCGTCGAACAGCTTTTCACGGTCTGCATTCTGCCACAATCTCTGGCCCTCACATACGATTACGACATCTGCTTGTTTGCGTTGATCATTCACAAACACAAAAGCATTTACAAACTCCATGTATTTGTTGGTCGGATTCTTGTGGACAATACATCCTTGTCGAATGAGGAATTTCAACAATTGATTCAAGATCCAAGTCAACAGCGCAGCTAGAATATTTATTGTCCGCCATTGCCAGTGCCGGTGTTGTTCAACCGGTGTAGCATAAATATCCGACTCCATGAAATGTGGACTCATTGGTAGTAGTGCGCACACGTGAGTACGATACTATGCCATTCTTAGGATCGTTTGGGGAGAGTGACCTGTCACGTGCGAGGGATTAACCAATAAAAGGAAAAAAGGGGTCCGATTTTCATAGGAGTTGGATTTTCATGTGACACCAGCCGTTAAAAACACGCAGTGGATACGGACTATGTACATGTACTACATTTTCATGTACGTGTGTAGGACAATGCTGCGCATGCTGTACACAATACATGTACGTTCATGGGATGCAATGCGGGGCCTGGCGCGAGGCACAACCGGCTCGGCAAGTGCTCGATTCGGCATCGGTTGCGGCTGTCGGCTGTGACGACGGGCGAGAAAACGGATCGTCATTTTAAAAAAAAAGTGTTAGGCGGGCATTAATGGGCGAGAAAACATCTCAATATTTAAAAAAAAAAAAAATGTACGGCCGCCATTAACCCCCTCCCCCCCAGCGTACGGTTTGTACGCTCGTGAAAATGTTGATAATTGTGAACGGCCCCTTAGCCAACATGTAGATTCACCTAATAGACATTTAGGAATGAGATATAAAAACTTGATGAAAAGCAATCACAGTGATGATAGTAGCAAGCTCAAAGAATACATATTTTATTGTTCTTGTAATTCTTATTCATATTATTAGTCTGGTATATTAAAAAAAAATTGGCAGCCACCATAATGTGTCTGATGAGATCAGTGGCAGCGCTGATTTCTCCCAACAAATTTTGTTTATTGTCTTCGCTGTTAAAATTTATAAAATGTGGACACATTTTGAACCAATGAAAGCATTATAAACATTGGTAGTTAAGGCGAAACACACTACACATGCATATATACAGCCGTAGATAGTATGCAGCAAACGTCTTTGTATACACCATTCTGCGGTTTGATACATTTCTCATTAAAAACGACTACTCTAAGTTGCTTTTGTTCCTTATTTCCAGACCATTGACAATGGGCATGGGCGCACATGTACACAGGCTTAAGATTTTGTTTTGACTGCCCCCCCCCCCCAAATATTTCCTTTCCCCCCCCCCCCCCAAAAAAAAAATCTTTAGAGTCTGGCGCTGCAACTGGATGAGACACATTATGGTTTAACATTACTGATACATGTGATACTTTACACAGGTGGTAAAAAGCAATCAGAATGATGATACTAGCTAGCTCTAGGAATACAAAAACTGAGTCCATATTTTAAGCCTGTACATCGATACTTAAAGATCTTATATTAGTCGGCAAGATTACCATATGCGAAGTTCACTAATTTTCCTCAGTATTGACTAACAAGCCCCCAGATAGCTTAATAATTTCATGTCATCAAAGTCGATTTGAGCAGTGAAAAAATACAAGCATTTTCTTAGAAAACACTTAGAATTTTTCAGTCCAATCTCATAGGGTTTGAACACAGGGTGTTGAGTGAACTTCGTATATTTGGAAATCTTTCCCACTAGTCAAATCACAAATATTGCTATTTACAGAGTTTAAACTTAATGTTCTTTTTTTACCACTCATTGGACAACTTGCTGTAAAATTTTACTGCATTTAAACTAGCAAGGCCTGGCTAATTGTCTGATTTGATTAATTTACAGTAAATTACATGTTCACATTATAAATGGAGCAGTTTGAGTTATAACCATTTGATAACATGAATTAAAATTGAGAAAGAAAAACCTACTGTAAATTGAATGAATTTGAAAGTTACAGGGGTCGGTTGTAAAATCAAAGTTATAAATGATGGCAACAGGTCGCTGGCTCTTTATATCCTTCATTTCAGATGGTTAATATTGGTCGCTTTTTGATTATTAGAATGTACTGTACAATTCAATTCAATTTAATTCAATTCAATTCAAAAATACCTTATTTATCCTGAAAAAGGCAATTACATATGGTTGGACAGCTCATTATAAGACACTTAGTAAATTACAAGTCGAGTAAATATAAATACATAAAACTTATATCAATCACAAACAACATGTCCTTATCTCAATTAAAATTGCTGTAAAATGTCATCTTATCTAAAAAATAGTATCTTTAGACGATACTCTACCTCCCACTGATTCCTTTTTCCCCAATTAAAGTAAAATCAACAAATTCATTTATACTTTTTTTTTAATGAATCCAGGTCTGCTACGGAAAAAAAACATAAGTTACAGTGGTAGCAGAAAATTACATATATATTTACAAATGCACGGTGTTTTTTTTTTTCTTGTCTTTAAGATGAGGGCCCAGTTTTGTGATCCTGCTAACAATGGGTTAATGTGCTAACAGTGCTTCTAAAAAACAATGCACTAACCAAGTAATTAGCATGGAATCTTTAGTTATCACTGGCTTGCAACTTTTCTTCCGATCAGCTGATTTCCTCTTTTTTCACTTCACACTTATGCCATTATTTGAGAGAAAAAACTATATGTACAATATATATATATACAGTGTTGTGAAGCTTGGAATTTCCTCCAAACAAATATTTTTTTACCTGCTAGTATGAAGGCAGCTATCCAT